CCCCTCACATATACTAATGTGCCACAAACAGGACTTTAATATCACCAACCATTCCCATGTTATTACGCTGTATCCATAGAAATGGCCCACCCTGTAGATTTGGTATTTAGCTTTTAGCTGTAATTTTCAATATATAGGGGTTCAAACCTACAAACTAATGTCTCGTCACATATAGAATATTCTTTACTGGCCAAGTCAGTCATTTTATCTCAACCTAGTAAAGCAAATGAATGTTAATATAAGTATTAAAAACAAATGATGTTAATTTGCCCAAATACTTCTGCGCCCACGAAAATGGGAGCTATGCATAAAATTCCTCGTCAGTCAATGCAATGAACCTATTTTTGTTAAACCCCTGAAAGGCTCAATGTCAGCACTTTAACCCTGCCATGCATGAATTATGACAACCTCAATCAGGATTTTTTCTTAAGTATTTTAATTCATCTTTAGGCATTAAAAGATGAATAAAAAATACTTAAGAAAAAGTCCTGATTGAGGTTGTCATAATTCATGCATGGCAGGGGTTAAATGACAATCATTACAATGAAACACGTCATACATCTATAGCAGGGGTCGGCAACCTTTCTGATGATGAGTGCCATCTAAAATTTCCTCAGAAGTCTGTGTGCCATATGATTGCGTTAGCAATACATTTAATAACGCTCTATATTAACAGTTACACAATATATAGAACAACTTTATAGAATCATATTTGTTTGCAGATGTTGGCAGCTATCAGCGAATAGTTATCAGCTATTTTGAAACAAAAAAATACACTTTTTATCCATAACAGCAAATACAACAGAGAGTGCAAATGCTATTTATGGTCTCCTCACAACAATGATGCGAAATAATAAACTGGGCCAATATGGCATGTTTGTTAATACAGAGACACACATGTTAATGTGATCTTTGGTCTCCCACTCAGAGACACAGGTCTCCGAGTGTCCAGCATTCAGAGGCTACCTGTGGACTCATGTGAGAGAAAATCTGCTCACACAGATATGTAGAGCCAAATACTGTCAATGTTCTGAAGACAGTTACACAGAGTCGAGCTTTTCAGTTCAATCAGCTGCATTTCGATGTCCTCTGTGTCCAGGCAGTTAATACGAGACAAATCCAGCTGCTCATTAAAGATTTCTGGTTTGATCAGAAAAGAAAACATTGGTCCATACACCTGAAAGTCCCGAAAACTCATTGTGAATTCAGTCTTTGAATGTATTTCCGTGGTGCTGATGCTGCGCTGAGCGGACAGCTCCTGAAGCATTTGAAGTGTCTGAATGTGGAAATTTCAACATCGCTTGAAAAAACTGACAGCTAGCAACGTCCCTCTCACCAGTAGGCAAAGTTATTTTTAGCCAATTACAAATTGAATCTGGTAGTTGGGGTTGTTAGCTAAGATACTGTCATTAAGAAGCAGCACAACTAATGTGTGTATGCGAGCTAATTTGCGATGTGCACCGCTGGCCATTTATTTTTTAATGCACCTTATCAGATTATTTCACTGCGTGTCGTGCCCAAGGCTGGACTGGGACACAAAATGGGCCCGGGCATTTTGACGAGACCAACCCACCAGGTATTAAAGCCATAAAGCCTTTGTATGAAAACAGACGCTGTTGTGACAGTGATGTACACTGTCTTGTTGGTATATGTATGATTTCTGTACATTTCTATACATTTTGCATCAGAGCGAGCGATAAACAAACAAGAGAGATGGGACTTGTGACAGAAAAGCCGATCATCTGATCATTGATCAGTTTCATGATTGAAGTAGAAACAGGAGAGGGAGGGGGAGAGAATGAGAGAAGAAGAGGCAGCTGACAGCATAAAGACAGAATAAATCCAACTTTTCCAATCTAGCTGAAGTCAGGGACAAACTGTGCTCCTTTTCACCTCAATACGAAACGCGTAATATTTTCTCTGAATACGAGACGATTCAGTTTTTACGGGACGGTTGGCAACTCTACTAACTAACCCTATGAATAAAATGAAGTTCACTATCAGTAACATCATAGCACCACCCAGCTGTATAGATCATGCTAGCAGTCCATTCTCATCATGCTAGCTAGCACGCAGTAGGAGTTATTGTAACTGACTGTAATAAGTCAGCGCAACGAAAATAAACTCCACCCAGACTTGGTTTATATCTGACCCAGATAGACTGCAGGTCAGAACTTCTTACCTGAAGTTCAGTTCACCTGACCTCCTGCCTCCCCTTTCTCTCATCCACCTGCTGGCCTCTGTGGAAGCTCCGCCATAGAAACCACCACCAAACAACTGAGTTATTTTTACACATCTGCCAGCACCTGGCCAATCCACCACCTTTCATTGTTTATAGTTAACTAAAAAAAAAAAAATCACGTGTGCCCAGGGTTGCCGACCCCTGATCTACAGTAACATTAAACGGCCAATGAGTGGCAGGTATGGAGTGACACATCAGTGTCCAATGTAGTGGTTTATGTGCAAGTATACCATCCACACTGACACAAATACAAGAAAACAGCCTTTGAATAGCTGTCCAATAGTGACCAGTATTAGTGAAAGGGTTCATTGGATCTTGATCGCTTGACTTAAAACTCACAATGGTGTGTACGGAGGCAAGAGTACCAAAAACTCTGTCACTGTCCAAAAATGTAACAGTATATTAATTGGTCAGCAATATGAAGACAGATAGCACAACTGTAGCAGGCTGACTAACTCACACGTTTTTGGTACCTTTCTTTTTATATCATCATCATCATCATCATCATCATCATCACCAAATTTGAATGCCTAAGGCAATTTTTGTCCCAGATCTATCACATAAATGTCGGTCCCAGGAGCGCTGCCACTGGGCTGTTTTCTGGTTTTCACAAACTTTCCTGTTTCACCTGCAGGGTGCGATTCCTCCTCGGTGGGCGTCATGGGGAGTTTAAGTTCCTCCCTCCTCCTGGTTATGCCCCTTGCTATGAAGCAGTGTTGCCCAGGGAGAAACTGAAACTGGAGGCTAGTCAGGATCAGACTGCCACCAGAGACCTGCTGGGACCGACTGTCACTTTGAGCCAGGCAGCATTCACCCCTATACCTGTAGACACCAGCCAGGTCAGAAATGTCTTGCTCCATTTTTCTCAATAACACACTTGATTTAAGTTTACTTTTTAATTATTTTTGAAGTCATTCAATAAAGGTTTTTTTTCCCTTAACCATAACCAGTAACTGAAACGCTGTTTGTTTTTTGTTCAGATTATTTTGCCACCTCACTTGGAAAGGATCAGAGAAAAACTAGCAGAAAACATCCATGAACTCTGGGTGATGAACAAGATAGAATTAGGCTGGATCTATGGTGCAGTGAGTATTATTAAATGAAAACAAATACCTGTACATAATACCTGGTGGACTGCTGCTATGCGTGTAATCCCAGCTAAACAGGTTACATAAAGAGGATTTGGGGCTGATAGATTCTTCAGCACCTGTAGCAGTAGCTCAGTGTTACAACATACAGAAGAAGCAACTGCTATCACAGCTAGAGATTGATGAGTGCAACACAAATGCTACAGCAAGGGAGAGCCAGGACATCAGGTCATGGGGGAGATGTCATCATCCCCTCCCCCCACCAGCTACTGACAGATAGAGCACTGGTTATGGTTATAAGACCTGACAAACCTGTGCACTACCGGAAAGCCTACGACTTAGTGCTTCACACCTGGATCCTGGAATGCCCAGAAGAAAGTCCTGAGGAGAGCTGAATGGGAAGAACAAGATCCGGGCAATCAATAGCTATGCCCTACAGTTGATCAGTTACCCTGCTGGAATATAAGTTGGCCAAAGGAAGCGATAGAAGCCACTGACATCAAGAGAAGGATGCTGCTTACCATGCTTGGAGGGTTTCACCCAAAGTCCAGCACCGTGAGACTGCAACACTAAGGCTACGTTCACACTGCAGGCGAAAGCGCATCAAATCCGACCCTCTGCGACCCATATCCGATCATGGTATGACAGTGTGAACGGCACAAATCCGATATTTTCAAATCCGATCTGGGTCACTTTCGTATGTGGTCCTGAATCCGATACATATCTGATGTTTTAGAAAGCGACCTCTGCTTGATGGTCACGTCGCATTAAATCCGTCTTCTACGTCACTGACACAAGAAAGATGCCAATTATCAGCGCCGGAGAAGACATTGCGAACCTTCCTGGGCCTCCAGTGAAACTGTTGGGAACAACGTTGGAGAAACGTGAACATTTTATTTGTACTGTATAATCTGCAGATTCTGACAGAAATTTGAAGCACCGCTCCTCTAAAACAGCAATAAAGATCATTATTAGGCCATATGTAAATAACAAAATAACTTTAGAACTTAAAGCAAAATTGGGAAAAGTAAAGTCCGAAACAAGTCTTTATATTAAGGCCATCGGTCAAACATACTGTTGCTCTGGGTCTGAACAGAGCGCGTTGTGTGGGACGTCTTCTTTTGCGCATGCGGGCGCTTTGAGCGTTCACACTAGAGCGCGTTTGCTGTCGCATTTTATTTGTAGTGTGAAAAAGCAGACAAAAACATCGGATTTGATCAAAAAATCGGAATTGAGCATTAAGACCTGCAGTGTGAACGTAGCCTAAGTGGAAGGAAGGCTGAACTGGGACTGGTTTGTATCAGAACCATGATCCAAGATGAAAGAACAAACATCCATGAGCACATCAGGAAGATGGCCACAACTGATTACATGCTTAGTCAATACCTGATTCAGCAGAAACCCGAGAAAGAAGAGGAGCGAACCATCGTGAACGAACAGGCCCCTGCACGGCATGTACCATCAGCAGACAGAAGAAATGGCTGATATTGAGAAATCCTACCAGTGGCCCCCATGCTAATGGGAGCACTTGGTGCAGTGACCCCAAACTGAGCAAGTGTCTCCAGCAGATCCCAGGAATGACATCCAACAGAGAGAACAAACACTAGAACACGAGAGACTGCAGAATAGTGCAGTCCTAGGAATAGCAAAGATACTGCGCAGAAAGATACTGACTCTCTAACTTGAAGGATAAAGAGGCCAGAGCAAGTGTGGAATTATTAAGATATAGAAGATATATCACAAGATTTAGAAATTGCAGGTCAGTTTCTAAGTGTATAAAGTTGTGTACCATGGACAATGCAAAGGTTAACTGTGACTGTAGGTAACAGAGGCTGCCGGTCACTAAGCTTTTTAGCCGGTCACTTTTAGCGTCCAGGAAGACACTGTTCTTCAGTCTGATGGTTCAGCTCTTGTTGCTCCAGAGCCTTCAATGAAATACTGTTGATCCTTTTCTTTATTTGAATATTGTCAGAATGAACCGATGAATATTTTCGCTATAAAAATACATGACATCAGATATGTTATGTATTTAGCTACAGCTTGGTTACTATTAGTGTCCTGGCTGCCCTAAACTTTTCTTTTTTCTTTGCACGTGTGCTTGAGGTGCGGGATGATAATAAGCGGCAGCACCCATGTCTGGTGGAGTTCTCCAAGCTTCCTGAACAGGAACGAAGCTACAATCTACAGATGTCTCTGGAAACTCTCAAGTAATGTATCAGTGCAGTGAAATTTGAAATTTCATCATATATATTAGTAAGTTTTCTTTGGACGTTGCAGGAGCATCAGTTATTGTTGAAATTCATAACAAGCATCTGCACATCCCATTCACACTTTTCTTTGTGATTGTGTTATTGCCCATTACAGAACTCTCCTGGCTCTGGGTTGCCATGTTGGCCTAGCAGATGAACACGCTGTAGAGAAAGTCAAGAACATGAAACTTTCATCAACGTAAGACCATTAAACCATTAAAACAAAATGTCAGTTCCATATATAACAGCTGGGTACAGAAGAATATACACATTCACCAGTCACTTTGGAAGTTAAATGTGTTCAATGGCTTGTTAAGACAGATATATCTAATTATCCAATTGCATGAATTCTGGGATGCAGATATGGCCAAGATTAGTTTACACCAATCAGAAAGGTGACGGTGAAGTGACTTTGAATGTGGCATGGTTGTTGGTGCCTGAGAGACTGTCGGAAACTGCTGATCTACTGAGATTATTCCACATTAACATCTCTACGATTTAAAGAGAATGGTCCAAAAAAGAGAAAATACCCACTGAGCGGCAGGTGATGTTGGAGAAGGATGGTCAAACTGCTTCAGGCTGATAGGCAAAAGTAACTCAAATAAAAACTCATTATATAACACGTCAAGCACCTTGCCACAAAGTAAGTTGATTCAGAGTGCTGGTGAGTGTTTATGACTAGAGCAACAGAAACCCCCACTGGCATGTTGAACTGGATGAAAATGGACTGGTCTCAGACATCAGCACATTCTGGGTATTTAGGATCTCTGTATAACAATGCAGTACTTCACCTCTATCTGTGCAGCTATGAGTTATCCAGTGGTTATAAACCTGCTCCTCTGGATCTGAGTCACATCAAATTGACCTCCACCCAGGAAGCTATGGTGGACAAGCTAGCTGAGAATGCACACAATGTTTGGGCAAGAGATCGCATCCGCCAGGGCTGGACCTATGGCATACAACAGGTACTCACAATGTTTAAACAATTGAAATCAATTTAATTCATTTCAGACAACAATGATCAAGTTGTTTTATATTGTAAGGAAAAACTCCCTTTTAACATGAAGAAACCTGTGTCAGAACCAATCTGCACCCCCAAGCCAGTCACAGCAGTCGTGGGCTGTGGGTTACGACTGGAAGACAGGACAAGCACATACTGTGGACGAGAGCCAGAGTTTAATAGTAACTAATGATTACATGCAATGTGCTATATAAACACACAGGTAGTGAAAAGAGGTGTGAAGAATGGACTGATTGGACCGATTCTTATACAGCGCTTTTCTACTCTCATGGAGTACTCAAAGCTGTCTACAACATGCCTCATTCACCCATTCACACCCGCTCATATACAAGCACTGCTAAACTCAAGTGCAAACTAACCAACATTCACACACATTCACACTCCGATGCACTCTGTGCATCATGGGAATCCCCCACAGTCTAGACCTATTTCAGTGTAACTAAGATGATTTTATAGACGAGGGCTTACCCTCTCCTATAAAATCATCTCCTACCCTAGCAACCAAAAGTTCCTACTTAGCAAGCCAGCAGTGTGAGAGTGAAGTGCTCTATTGAGTGATAAAGTACTACGAGGCCTTTCAGAAAAGATGGGGCCTGATAGTTCAAGACCTTGTATTTGATGACAGTGATTTTAAATTTGACATTCGGTTTAAAAGGGAGCCAATGAAGAGAAGTCAGTATGGGAGAAACATGCTCTCTCTTTCTAGTTCCTATCATTAGAATTGCTGCAGCATTTTAGATCAAATAAAGACTTTTCAGGGAGTTTTTGAACAACCTGATAATACTGAATTACAGCCTAGAAGTAATAACGTGAACGTGTTTGTCAGCATTACTTTCTAAAAGAAAACAGTGCTATGTATTGACAAAATTGTGGAGGAACCCTCAATGGCAGTTAGAGGAACTGCAGTTTGTTTCTGTTCAAGGCCACCCCAGTGGTACGAAATGCTGCTGTGTCCCCTCTTAGCTGTAAATTCTAACAGGCTAATTCTTTCTTCTATTATATAAATTCTTTAATTCTTTGTTTTTTGTTGTTGTTCTTTCCATTTTGTAACCTTGTTGTGTCTCTTGTCAGGATCTAAAGAACCGTAGAAACCCTCGTCTGGTCCCCTACGCTCTTCTGGATGAGAGAACCAAAAAGTCCAACAAAGACAGTCTGAGAGAGGCTGTCAGGACTCTCCTGGGATATGGATACAATCTTGAAGCTCCTGACCAAGACCATGGTACAACATGTTTGCTTCAGTAAAAACCATCATTCATTGTATTTTCTTTTCACTTCCATAACTTTTGAGAGAAAAATAAACACCTTAAATATTCAGAAGTACAGTATGTAAGATGTAAGATTTTTTCCTTGACATTGCATTGTTAAGATGCTCACCAAGTCCACCTGTTTTTACCTCTCATCCCTCCCATGCCTCCCTGCCATCCAGCAGCTGAATCGGGCCTGAGTAACGTGTCGGCTGAGAGGTTCCGCATTTTCAGAGCAGAAAAAACATACTGTGTTAATACTGGGAAGTGGTACTTTGAGCTGGAGGTAAGAAGCAAGAAAATAGTTGTGACTGAGATAAAACGCTTAATGAGCATCACTGAAATACATCAGAGATTGTCTGATACAAATATTAAGCTCTCTATGAAACATCTTCCTAATACATCCTTACTTTGGGAAATATTTTTCTGAACAAATTACTCAACTTAATTTTACACCCTTATACAATCAGCCACTGATTTGTTTTTTATGATGATGATTTTGATTCACTCGCTGGGCCCACGTCCTCACTTTAGGTTTGACAGTGTTTTAGTAGATATAGGTGGATGGCTTAGACATGAATTGAGCTGCGGTTTGGGGAACCCATGCAGTGCAGTGCTGCTTTTTCTAAACATTAGACCCGTAAAACTTCAAACTGGATCTATTTAAGCATAATTAAATGTTTTTATGTTCGTTGCAATACGAATATTGTAAAATGGATTTGACTGTGAATCATGAGCAAGTGAGCCACCGATTGTGCAAGTTCCCCCACTTAAAATGATGACAGAGGTCAGTAATTTGCACCAGAGGTACACTTCAACTGTGAGAGACAGAATGTGAAAAAA